TAGGACCGGTATAAAATTTCCTTATTATAATCGTAGGCAACGCCTTTTTTGTTGGACGTTCCTACGAGTTATTATGTAGTTAAAATGGTCATACCAGGAACGTAATTTCAATTTATTACACCGAACTCATAGGAAATGCTATGCTCGCTTTACGACAGTTTTCTAGGAAATAATTAAGTAGTAAAACTTTCGCTGTATTATATATTTGCATTATTTAATTGGGGAAAACATATTTTACAGGTGAAACATATTTTACAGGTGTTACGATGAGAGTCATTGTTATTACTAGGCAATAAGAGATTCTCATACCCTTAATCTACGATCTAAATTAAAAGATTCCGAACTTAATCTACACCAAAAGAAATTAAATAGTCAAGACGTAAATATCAAAACTATATACAAAACTAAAACAAATCACTTCATTCGATACACAGCGCATTTTTCTATATAATGTTAATTATCAATTAATATTTCTTTGTATATATTGTCCACTTGGACTTTGTTTATTATAAGGGACTTATTATACTGGTGAAGTTTGTGATTAGCAAAGAGAAGAAATCTTAGTCGAAAGTCGAACCAAATATCTTTACTGGGTGAAAATAAAGGCATTGTAAGCAACAATCAGTTTACGATTGGTATGTTTTGTGTTCGAGGAAACGTCATTTTGTACAAATGTCACATTTGTAGTAAAACAAGTTTAAATGCCTACAAAACACGAGTCAATAGCCGCATGTTTTAGATAGAAAAACCAGTTTTATTTCAAATATTTTTAGAATAAATTGTTTAGAAAATAAACGAAAGGAATAAAGTATCGAAAGACGTTAGCAATATTTTTCAATTTTTGTTGAAAAATTATCGGTTATAATCAAGAGTTTCTAACTTTTTAAAATTACTTTTTCCATCGACCTCCCCTTTAATATTACAGTATATGCATTATATTATATATAAATTTACAGTATATACAACAGCCTTCTATATAATTTAAAAATATCTTTCTACATTTACTTGAGAGCGAAAAATTGTGTAAAGTTTTTAATATTTTTATATAAAGTTTTATCAACTCCCTCAAGCTTTCATTGACCCCCCTCAACCTCATTTTATGACACTGAACTTACGAGAAATTAGATAATCTCCATACAATGAATTTCCAGAAACTACGTACAATATGTCTTAATTTATAACAGGGTTTCCCAACGGGGTTGGTATTGACCCCTTATGTCCCGGAAACGCATTTATAACTAACCAATAATTAATAACCAGGAAATAAAATTAAGTAAATTCCAGTTTTATAATCTTTGTCTTCCACGACTTTCTATTATAATGTTATGGAATGCTGTATTATCTGTACACAAGTCGACCCCCCTATAACACTGTTGATTATTCCGTTTTATATGAATTCCACGTTGTAGGAGTCACTTAGATTTTACAAATACGTGTGCCGGGCTGTGAACGGTTTACATATTTGTAAAATCTAAGTGACTCCTACAACGTGGAATTCATATAAAACGGAATAATCAACAGTGTTATAGGGGGTCGACTGTATTTGTTTCTGGTTATATAATATAAACTGCTTTACTGGAAATGTAACCTTAATTTATAAAAATATTTCGAATAAAATTAAAATAATAAATTAATAATAGTTTTTCTCAGATAACGAGATACTTTGTTCACTGTTTAACACGATATCCGTCCCGCACTACGAGTGAATATGGGTCATTTGGACGGAAGTTTAGAGGAATTAATTAAAGAATACAAAATATATAATTAACATAACAAATAAATTTCCAGAAAAATTATCAGGTTTTACTTTATTATTTTAAAATAAATAGTGTATATTTCCTGTTCTAATGCTGATAAACACTTTAACAACTGACCTATACGTTTGACCTTTGTCTCGATTATAGACGTCATCTAGCAACTATTGTGTAACGTACAGTACAGTACGTTACACAACTTCTTCAATTGCGTAACGTAAAGACTTCTCGAGGTTGTATTCCTGTTTTTACTACAGTATAAAGCCGAATCAAGGATAGGAAATTAGTACAAATGCATATAATTTATTTATAATACAGTATAAGAATGCAACAACATCCTGTGTCTGTTTACATTTATTAATTAAAATATTACAGTTCGAAAAATAAAATAATTGCTCCGAATATTGACTCGTACATTTTCGTATTCTGTAATTAATTTCCCAGTTTTTAGTGTCCTATTTTGATAATTAGCATTCTGTAAACGTCAAATCAATAGATTAAATTGCCGAGGATCCTTGTTTGGAGAGGATTCTCACGTCTAGAACGGCTCTTCTGAAGAAGCGATAAAAATCCTCACTTGTTATGAATCTTTACAATGTATAAACGAATATACAGAATAATATATGACATAAATTCTTCGTATTCCTTTTATGCATCGCTTTCTTCCATACGTAAGTCATTGTTAAGTGCAATGTTATTATATTGTTCAGTATATTAAAGAATTTTTTCGGGATTTTCATTTCTTTAAGCTGTAAATAAATAATCACCGATTAAAAATATATAAAATTTAGTAATTACACATTTCCGAAACAGCTGAAATATGTCGATACGAGACAAACAACACATGCAAATTAACTTTAAAAAAATCCTTATTTTTTTATTATTGGAAATGAAATCATTTATCCTGTTGTTATCGGAAGATTCTAGGAAATGAATTAACATTAGTCGACATTACTTTCAGTTAAAATATTTGCTGTCAAAATGAGGAGTGCCGTGTTACGACACACACTGTATTGGCGATAAATGTAGAAGGGATTCTCGAGAATGTAGACATTTATTTCGAGATGCGAATACAATAATATATATATATTATATTCGTCTTTAGATTTAATAACAGGTCCTGTCAGGCTTAGAATAACAAGGTGATTAACGTTACATTGTCATACATGAACAATCACTTTCGGCTCTTTTCGACGTGACTCTCCCTACGTTCCTCCGATACGATTACATCGTTATACTGTTTTTATACATTATAATTTTATAAAACTTAAACAAAAAACTTATTTTTAATGACATTGTAGCGTTAATTCAATATATTTTATTGGGATGCAATTTGAAAAACATTGAAAATGCCCACTGTCTTTTCTTAATTTATATCTTCCCTATTTATGAACTATCAAACCTAAAGAAAGTCCTCAATTGTTTATTGTGATATTGTAACAATTCCGAGCTGAAATTTTTAATTATATTTTTAATTTATTTAATTTATAATATGCTCTCTATCTCAAATTAATAGTGGCTTGCCCCTGTACATCATACTTTTCCTTTAACAATAGTGTCGTGCCGGTCATCAATTTTAACTGCTTTCAGAGGAAAAATTTTGAATTCAAATAACGTGACTTTTCGGTTTGTATTGAAAGTTTGTATATAGTTAATTAATTGGGACCTCTATATCTGGTCTCGGATTTCATGTAGCTAACTCCGTTCTCGAGATTAAGGAAAGACACAGACGGACAGGCGAACAAATGGATAAACAAACAAACGGATATAACATCATATCCGTTTGTTTGTTAACATTATATCAATATAACATTTTCAATATAAAACTTGTAGTTAAACTTCCGAGTAAATAACATTACTGCCGGTGGCGGTTAAACATAACACTAAAACTGGATACAGTTAGACCCCATAATAGATACTTGTTTTTAGCACTTTTATACATACATGTTATTAATAATGTTGGTTTGTAAACTGCTTGAATAATAGCACTCTACTGTCGTAGTCAAAAGATATTTCCATGGATATTCTAATTCTAATAAGCCCCAAATGGGATTTTTATGAATCTTACTTTCCAGACTTTAATAACCAGACACATGGCTCAAGTATTTTGCATATAAGCCGCAAAATTACACTTACTTAATATGCATGGGGTTTCTAATTCATTGGCCAGTGAGTGTGTAATATGAAGCAGATTTATTAATAGGCCACTTAATAGATTTAGGCGCTTTTAATAGATTTATTATTAATAACGCCTTTCTAACTGCTGCATCCTGCAGTGAGAAAGACTCTATGATATATGTTATTCACAATATGCTGTAATATATGTTAATAATTCATCTAACATTAATAAAAAAAGAGCACGGACTTAAAGTTAAAGCTCAATAAATTCCAAAATCTACCCTAAATCCTCTTTTTGTAACATTCTCTCATATTTCTTTTTAATTTACATTTCTTTAAGAAACAAGAGATACATTTATTTTTATACAATTTAATGATTAATTAGTGTCAGATACCGGCACATTATAACATGACAAATCTCAGTTATATCTCTTACAGGCTGAGTAGAATCATCCGACATTCCATACAGTCAATGGGTTCGAGTACAAAAAAAATACAATACATTTTTCTATATATTCTTTTATTTCAATTGTATTGATATTTAATAGAGAAATCGTATCCTGTATGTCTATTATAATTGAAAATAAATTATTCAATGTGAATAAATCTCTATTATTCGAGTTACTGTAGTAATACCGAGCACGCCATCCAATTCCAAATAACAATACCGAAGCTAAAGTAGATAGCGTGTCGGAGTATTTGGAAATTTCTCTTTTTTATATATTTTTATTTTATAATTTAATATCTAAAATTATTCAAATAGAAACGAAATCCACGTATAAATTCCTAAACTTGGAAGTAATATGATTTTTAAAATATAGTACGCAAGAATGGGTTAATTAAATGCTGTCGTTTCTTTGGGATAAAAACAATTTTTTACTTTCCTGGATCTGTTATATATAGTCGACCCCCCTATAACACTGTTGATAATTCCGTTTTATATGAATTCCATGTTGTACGAGTCACTTAGATTTTACAAATACGTGTGCCGGGCTGTGAATGGCTCACATAACAGAAGGAATGTATGGCGATCGAGTAGACTAAAAAGAAGAACAGACTACATATTTTAACAATAAAATACAATTAATTTTATTTTAATTTTGGAATTATTTACAATTCTTCTTCATTAATTATTTGTTTTTTTTATAACACTTATACAGCTTTTTTAAACGATAAATATCGCTTTTGCTTAATCTTTTTTTCTTGTCAACTCCCAGGAGTTGAACTCCTTTCAATTTGGGCATCATCGTTTTCAAATGTTCATCCTTGGAAAATACTGTTTCTCCGTATAACATAATAGAGTTATAATCGAAAGGATTCAGGACTCTAATTTCGCCAGGCTCGAACTTATTAAACTGTTTTTCCATTCCTATATATAAACATCTTAAAACTTCGTTTAAAACCTCGAATTAATTGTATATAGAGTTATATATTACCTGGTTTTATATTGTCCCATAAAATGGTCAAAAAATTATCTCTGTCATATCGACTGTGCTCGTGGTACAGACCGACGGCGTGTCCCAATTCGTGAACAATGATACCGAGATTCCTACAACCTGGTCCTAAAGAAAGCTCCTGTTTTTTACCCCTCCTACCGACTTTAGAAGAGCATCTAATAACGAACAATATAAATCACCAATTTTACACGTAAATATACATAAGTAGGATAAACAAATACAGTATACGATTTACCTCTTGCCGGAGAATATATAGACAAAATCTTCTTCGTTTGTTCTCGGTACAAATCTGATACACGTGTTTACGTGATAATTCTTCATGGCTTGGGCTAATAAATATCTGTAACCATCTATCGGAAACGATTATAACTGTATAAGCTACTAGATACAATGATAATATATAATAATTTACAGAGACCTAGAGAAGAATCAATTATATACGGAACTCTTGCGTTGGGCCATAAATTACTATCATTCGTAACGGCAGTTCTTTGCTTAATTAAAAAATAATAATGATAAAATTTTGTATTAAAATCTACAAATAATTAAATAAACTTACTATAATTCCATTTATATCTCCTTCGAATAAATCTAAACTTTGCAACGGAAGATCTGCCAATTCAACACGTAAAAAACTTAATTTATTATTTAGAAATGTTAAAGTATTGATAAATTAAGAATGCTTCAAAAGCATATTCTTCTTAATTCTTTATCTATTCCTAAGAATCAAACTCCTTTCATCAAAGACAACGGATCCATCCACCCTATTCGGATCTATTGTATTTAATGGGTATAAAGTAACGACAATTATTCGTCCACACAACTCGGAGCCAAATATCCCCAGCTTTAGCATTTGAAGCATCTTTGGTATATTTATACTCTAATAATTATTTTACTCTACCTTCTTTCTTCGTTAAAATCATAAAAAGTAAAGCTGCAAAGCATAGCATTTTCGGACGATTATCAATTCAACTTCCGAAGTTTAGTAAAAAGTGAATAAATGCGCAACGATATACGATAAAAAGAAAATTTAGTGTCTCGTCAGCAAAATTTATTACTTGTTTTAATAAATTTTATATGCATTTATTTACACAGATTTCCAGAAAATGCTTTTCTAGCAATATATTAAATTAATAATATACAGTATTTAAGTAAACATTTAAGCAAATGTACTTAATATCTTAGAAGTTTAATAATAATTTAATAATTATCTGCTGGGATGACATCACATTACCAACATGCTTAAAAGAAGTCGAGCAAGCTATAGAGGGGCTCAGCGAGATCAAGAAGGAAATGTTTAGATGGGAAGTGGCGCTTAAAATCAAACAAGAAAATAGTAAAAGGGATCGCGACCCAATCTGGCCAAATATCAGAAAAAGTCAAGACTGGCTGAAGATAATAATCTCGTGCTCACAAGGGCCGACAAGTCGAAGGACTTAGTAGTCATGAAAAGAAACACTTACGACGACCTTCTGTTAAAGTACGTAAATGATACGCATTGTATTACGGCGCACCCAAGAGTTCTAGAAAGACTGCAGGCAAGAGCCAACTTACAACAATTCATAAAGGACATTAATGACAACAAGTTCGGTCTCGAGATTGAGCTCGAGCAAGAAAATGATACTCTTATACATTTTCTGGATTTATCTTTATAACTTGACAGCAAAGGGGATTTTTTCACTAAAATATATAGAAAGCTTACGTACAACTCGATATTTATCCCATGGAATTCGCACGACCCTCCAACGTATAAACTAGCAGCATTCCGGGCGCTCATCGCACGAGCACGATAAAGCTATTACTAGCCAAGTTAAGACACGTAGCACGGTGTGAAATTTACAAAATACAGAAGAGTTCACACTGATGAAATATAAGGCCTGGCTGAGCAGCATCTATAGGCGAATAGGAGCCGCTACGAACAAAAGAATAATTTATAAAAGGAATCCTACTATTTACCGATTGCTAAGGGCAGACAAAGATGCCTTGGACAAGAACTCTCTTCCAGGAGTCCCTGTTGTAGACACACGGCGGCAGAATAAGATGTTCTACATCGGAGCTACCGGAAGATCCCTCAAGAAAAGGCTGTCAGAACACCGGAGAAACATAAGAAGCGAACAGCCGTGCACAGCGCTGGCGACTTACGTCTTAGCTGACCCCCAAGAACGGGATCACGCAAGATTGATACAAACAGTTCGCAACAAAAAGCACCTCCGGTACGCTGAAGACTGGCATATTTACAAAACCAGCCAAAAAGGACTAGCTATCAACTTCCGAGATGCAAGCAAAGTATCGATCAAGCATATTATAAGCGTCAAGAACGGTGGCAAAGCGGCAACATACTTAAGGGTAGAACCCTTAAGTTAATGTATTTGCTCAACACATTCTTTATGTCTGGTATTTTATGTCTGTTTGTATTTTTTATTGTTATTTTTATTTTATCTTGAACGTCATATTATTTTTTTAACGTTCTAATAGCTAATGTGGTTATATATTGATAGCCTTTATGTAGAGATGACTCTCTTTATTCCCGTAGAATATCCTTTTAAAAACGTTCCAAAACGCATGTATCGTTAATTCGAATTTTCTCAGAGTTCGATTTTTTCTGTTTTTTTTTCCGTTTATTCTTGATAAAGGTCATTAAATATGACCGAAAACGTTAGAATTTCATAAATATGGCTGCACATACAAAAGGAATTCTGAGTGTGTTTAATTGGTAAGAAATCGAGACTAGATATGGATTTGTCTAATTCAATTTTATTTTTATATTTTTACTGTCTAATTAATTAAGCGAGATGACATTTATATAATTTATTTATACGATAAATATCACTTTTGCTCAACCCCGGTTTATTGCCGACGTCAACGAGTCTTACACCCGGTTTCATAGCTACCATAGTTTTACCGTGTCCGTCCTTCGAGAAAAATGTTTCTCCATACATCATTATGGAATTATAATCAAATTCGTCAAATAATGTTACTTGATACATCAAATGCTTAATGAACTGCTTTTTTCATACCCAGAAATGGAACGTAATACATTACAGTCCATTGATATATATCGAATTAACAGCGATTCTTTTACATTCATTACATTTACTTACAACATCGAAATCTCCAACCACGTCACCACCGAAAAGATGGGGATTTTGCAACGGTAGATTGGCATCGACCGAACCTACTTAAAATATAATTTAGCGGGTTAAATTAATTTAATAATGATTATCGATGCGACATTACATACCTTCGGAGTGTTCCCAATCGAAGTTTTCAACACTTTTGATCATTTGTAATGTTAGAAAAAGCTACGAAGAAGATCGCTAAACAAATCATTTTAAAAAATTATCACACGAAAATAAGCATTTCGTTGCGTAATAAAAGTAAAATTACTTTGTATACAAATGCGCTTTTTACAGAATGTGCATATTTTTTTATCTTTCTGAAATAAATGCGGAATAAACATTTAGATAATTTTATTTAAAGAATGTTAAAAAATGCTTCGAGTAGTTATGGAATTGGAATATCGATATATCGTGCCTGGTGATTTCCGATATATCACCGATATACCGTAGTGTTTTAGTGCGATATATCAGTGAAAACTGTGGATTGGCTGGGGAGAGGACAAAGGAAAGAGGTGTTGTCGTTGTTCTGTCGCTATCGTGCGAACTGCCAGACTGTGATATTTATGTGATTTGAAACCATTTGATCAGCTAACGAAAAACACTTCGGGTGAAAAATATATTAGTCACTTCTGTACTGTCAATAATAAGTTGTATGACTAAAGCCACGGCTGCCAGAACTCCTTCGGAAATAGTAAGGAAAAATTTTCAGGCTGCCACGAACTTTCTGGCACACTATTTTAAGGATGCCGAAAGCAACCGCTTGATAGCTATTTCTACTATACTTGATCCGCTGCGTTTCGATTCGCCAATAGCTTGTTCACGAGCAATACAGGTAACCCCCGTATAACACGGTAGTTACGTTCCAAAAAATTGCCGTGTTATGCGAATCCGTGTTATGCGAACCAAAGAATTAGTACGAAAAGGAGGGTTAGGTTCCAAAAATTAAAAAACATGCTACTATATTTTCATAATTAAGATAAATATCTTNACAGCCTTCTATATAATTTAAAAATATCTTTCTACATTTACTTGAGAGCGAAAAATTGTGTAAAGTTTTTAATATTTTTATATAAAGTTTTATCAACTCCCTCAAGCTTTCATTGACCCCCCTCAACCTCATTTTATGACACTGAACTTACGAGAAATTAGATAATCTCCATACAATGAATTTCCAGAAACTACGTACAATATGTCTTAATTTATAACAGGGTTTCCCAACGGGGTCGGTATTGACCCCTTATGTCCCGGAAACGCATTTATAACTAACCAATAATTAATAACCAGGAAATAAAATTAAGTAAATTCCAGTTTTATAATCTTTGTCTTCCACGACTTTCTATTATAATGTTATGGAATGCTGTATTATCTGTACACAAGTCGACCCCCCTATAACACTGTTGATTATTCCGTTTTATATGAATTCCACGTTGTAGGAGTCACTTAGATTTTACAAATACGTGTGCCGGGCTGTGAACGGTTTACATATTTGTAAAATCTAAGTGACTCCTACAACGTGGAATTCATATAAAACGGAATAATCAACAGTGTTATAGGGGGTCGACTGTATTTGTTTCTGGTTATATAATATAAACTGCTTTACTGGAAATGTAACCTTAATTTATAAAAATATTTCGAATAAAATTAAAATAATAAATTAATAATAGTTTTTCTCAGATAACGAGATACTTTGTTCACTGTTTAACACGATATCCGTCCCGCACTACGAGTGAATATGGGTCATTTGGACGGAAGTTTAGAGGAATTAATTAAAGAATACAAAATATATAATTAACATAACAAATAAATTTCCAGAAAAATTATCAGGTTTTACTTTATTATTTTAAAATAAATAGTGTATATTTCCTGTTCTAATGCTGATAAACACTTTAACAACTGACCTATACGTTTGACCTTTGTCTCGATTATAGACGTCATCTAGCAACTATTGTGTAACGTACAGTACAGTACGTTACACAACTTCTTCAATTGCGTAACGTAAAGACTTCTCGAGGTTGTATTCCTGTTTTTACTACAGTATAAAGCCGAATCAAGGATAGGAAATTAGTACAAATGCATATAATTTATTTATAATACAGTATAAGAATGCAACAACATCCTGTGTCTGTTTACATTTATTAATTAAAATATTACAGTTCGAAAAATAAAATAATTGCTCCGAATATTGACTCGTACATTTTCGTATTCTGTAATTAATTTCCCAGTTTTTAGTGTCCTATTTTGATAATTAGCATTCTGTAAACGTCAAATCAATAGATTAAATTGCCGAGGATCCTTGTTTGGAGAGGATTCTCACGTCTAGAACGGCTCTTCTGAAGAAGCGATAAAAATCCTCACTTGTTATGAATCTTTACAATGTATAAACGAATATACAGAATAATATATGACATAAATTCTTCGTATTCCTTTTATGCATCGCTTTCTTCCATACGTAAGTCATTGTTAAGTGCAATGTTATTATATTGTTCAGTATATTAAAGAATTTTTTCGGGATTTTCATTTCTTTAAGCTGTAAATAAATAATCACCGATTAAAAATATATAAAATTTAGTAATTACACATTTCCGAAACAGCTGAAATATGTCGATACGAGACAAACAACACATGCAAATTAACTTTAAAAAAATCCTTATTTTTTTTATTATTGGAAATGAAATCATTTATCCTGTTGTTATCGGAAGATTCTAGGAAATGAATTAACATTAGTCGACATTACTTTCAGTTAAAATATTTGCTGTCAAAATGAGGAGTGCCGTGTTACGACACACACTGTATTGGCGATAAATGTAGAAGGGATTCTCGAGAATGTAGACATTTATTTCGAGATGCGAATACAATAATATATATATATTATATTCGTCTTTAGATTTAATAACAGGTCCTGTCAGGCTTAGAATAACAAGGTGATTAACGTTACATTGTCATACATGAACAATCACTTTCGGCTCTTTTCGACGTGACTCTCCCTACGTTCCTCCGATACGATTACATCGTTATACTGTTTTTATACATTATAATTTTATAAAACTTAAACAAAAAACTTATTTTTAATGACATTGTAGCGTTAATTCAATATATTTTATTGGGATGCAATTTGAAAAACATTGAAAATGCCCACTGTCTTTTCTTAATTTATATCTTCCCTATTTATGAACTATCAAACCTAAAGAAAGTCCTCAATTGTTTATTGTGATATTGTAACAATTCCGAGCTGAAATTTTTAATTATATTTTTAATTTATTTAATTTATAATATGCTCTCTATCTCAAATTAATAGTGGCTTGCCCCTGTACATCATACTTTTCCTTTAACAATAGTGTCGTGCCGGTCATCAATTTTAACTGCTTTCAGAGGAAAAATTTTGAATTCAAATAACGTGACTTTTCGGTTTGTATTGAAAGTTTGTATATAGTTAATTAATTGGGACCTCTATATCTGGTCTCGGATTTCATGTAGCTAACTCCGTTCTCGAGATTAAGGAAAGACACAGACGGACAGGCGAACAAATGGATAAACAAACAAACGGATATAACATCATATCCGTTTGTTTGTTAACATTATATCAATATAACATTTTCAATATAAAACTTGTAGTTAAACTTCCGAGTAAATAACATTACTGCCGGTGGCGGTTAAACATAACACTAAAACTGGATACAGTTAGACCCCATAATAGATACTTGTTTTTAGCACTTTTATACATACATGTTATTAATAATGTTGGTTTGTAAACTGCTTGAATAATAGCACTCTACTGTCGTAGTCAAAAGATATTTCCATGGATATTCTAATTCTAATAAGCCCCAAATGGGATTTTTATGAATCTTACTTTCCAGACTTTAATAACCAGACACATGGCTCAAGTATTTTGCATATAAGCCGCAAAATTACACTTACTTAATATGCATGGGGTTTCTAATTCATTGGCCAGTGAGTGTGTAATATGAAGCAGATTTATTAATNAAAAAAAAACCATCTTGTTTTTAAAATGAAACAACAGAAGTTAATTTTCACACGTGATTAATTTTTTTTAAAGATAATAGATTACTGAATCGGAATTAATATTACTTCATCAATATACGATAGAGATAAAATTTATTAATTCTTCGATAATTTTTTTTCTAAATTACATTTTTTTTTTATTAATTTAAAATAAAAAACTAAATTATGATTAGTTATCATCGTCAATAACATCATCATCATCATCATCTTATCCAGTTGTTAATTGGAGTTCCATATTGCCATATTTTGCCATCTTTTCGCCTTTAGATATCTTCCTCCGGACTATCATCCGGGTTTCCTTTATTTATAATTATTTAACTCTTTCTTTTTATTATTCAAACCATTCCAAAACTGTACCAGTTGGTCTAAAGGTGCTGTTTGGTCCACTACTAGTTTGATTTCTAGTAACAGATAATTATTTTTTATTCTGGAGTTGTTTATTCTGTTGGTCTACGAGAGTTTAAATAGTTTACTTCCAATTTAATTAATTATGTTTCCATATATATGCTATATATGCTTTTTTTATGTTATTAGGTCTACATATCTTTATAGGCCATATCAGATATTTTACTGGTCCTTGAGCTTAAAAAGGTTGAGAAACGTTGATTAAGTCGAAGAGAAAACAGTCTGTTTTTTGTCGCTTAAGTAACTTAAAGCCATTTAAGAGCAGTTGTTTCTAATATAAGGTTGATATTTTATCAATTTTACTTTGAAGATAATAGGTAGAAATAGAATCGTTATAGTTCAAATTATGAATTGATGTGATAAAGCGGTTTTATTGTATTTGCAATTTGTTTAAATTGTAATATGAACAGGAAACCATAAATAAATATCATGTTTCTAAGTTTTGTTTGGATACAAGTATGATGATATAGACGTTTTATTAAATTTAAGT